ATAATTGTCTAAAAATAACAAAAAACATAACATCATGGTCAAATTTGTATAACACAAAAAAGTACTTTTAATCCTTTGACTTTTGATCCCAAATATTTACGCTGTCTAAAACAAAAATTTAATTATACATCACACCACTTTATTACAAAAATATAAAAAAAATCAAACAAACTTCAAAACAAGAAATACTGTGTATCTTAAATCCATTATATAATTTGTATCATCTATTCTAAGACATATCCAAATAATGAGACTTACAAAATATATTTTCATCGACTAACAATTTTTTTCACTTCTTATATTAAACTCTACACAAGACAATTCACTTTGGAATGGATTGAATTTATTAAATCAAGGTTAAGTTTTGAAAAATATTTATCATTTTGTTATGAAATAATAATGTTTAATTATTAACCTAATTAAAAAATATAATTATTACAAAAATTAATTTTAAGTTTGAAGTGTCACATCCCAATATTATACTTCATGCAGGTATAAAATTAAGACGTCAACATAGATGATAATAGAAAACAGTTAGAATAATAAAATATCAAATAAGGTTCTAAGAAATTAAAATTTAAGGATTACAGTAATTCGGAATGTAGAAGAAATTTTAAAACGTTGAATACTAAAGTACTTCAAAATACAAGAACTGGAATTGTTCAGATACATGGAAAGCTATGGAATTCCTAGAGAGACTAAGAAGTTGCTTCCTCATTCCCTTCCAGGACATTCTCCACTGAGGCCTCATTCTCCTCTGTTCACATCCAAGTGGATGATCATTGCAAAAGAAAAAGCATTCAACAAACACAAACACAAACAAGCAAGGGTGAGCTAATTATATAAAATCATGCAACTCAATTTAAGCATATACATATAAGAAATAACTCACACCAATTAATTTCAGAAATACAACCTAAGCATGTTAATTTCTAGACTTGACTCGGGCAAAACAAAACCCCGGTTGCCCTTCAAACCTAGAAACGCCGATAGGGATAGCCGCTGACAAAATGCCAGGATATCTGCCGAGAATGCAAGGAACGGAAATATGGGACCACACCCAGAGGCAGCTGATTTGGATAGTGTTGGGCCAGGGGTGTTACAGACTCGGGTGCTTTCCTAATCGGTTTGCTCCAAAAACTCAGGAGTGGAACCTTGGAGAGGCTTTTCCAGCACCATCCAGGCCAAGGTTCACTGGGCAAAGTGGCAAGCCCGGATGAAAGCGGATCATTGGTTCCACAGGACATGGAAACGCATATTTTGAGGCAAAAAGGATGGCCCGGATGACAAGAAGTTGGCCTTACCCATCCAGTATCTATTGACAGGGGAGCTGGGGCCACTGGTGGAACAGTGTGGAAGATGATCCTAGAGAGGCGTGAGACTCCTATTTACTTGGAGTTGTTCAGGACCAAGTTTTAAACGGGATAACTTCCTGATTGCGTCAGATTCGCTAAGGGAGGTAAGAATTCCTGAGTTGGCATCAAGGAAAAAAGCGGTGTCAGAATATGCTGAACCGTTTTAAAACCACCCTTCTCCGCTTCAGCAACTGTACAAAGTAAGTGAGGAGGTGGTAATGCCGGCAAATTCGAGAACGGTTTGAGGAAGGGATGTGAAAGCTGATGGTAAAAAAGGATTACGCATCCGAGAGTTCTCTACTTTGGTAGAGATGGCCCGAGACATGGAGAACACATAGGCAGAGCCCGAAGTGTCACAGGGCCAGCGAGTCCAACCACTGAGGGTTGGCGGACCCGCAATATCTAGAGGGGGATCCAGCTCTAGGACGACCCCTTTTTCTAGGCCCACGTCTTCTGGGTCCAGGAGTTCCTCCTCTCAGCCTTCGGTGGCATAGGGGCATCCAAGTTGTATCAGCCTGTTCGGTGTTTATATGTGGAGACACCCCTTGTCTGTGTGCCCTCAGTGATAGGTACAAAGGGTGTAACCTCTGTAGCAGGGACTAACCCACTATGCTAGAGATTGTCCTCTGTTAGGAGGAACAGGCCACACCCGTCCAGCGGCATACGCTATTCAGAGGGGTGCGTCAGGCCACAGGCAGCAGGGATAGTATACGCTCTGGGGACAAAGGGAGATGAGGCAGTAGTGCAGGTAACTTGATTGTCAGCCACGTGGCTTTTATTTGGGAGCTTCATGGTGTGGACTTTATTTGATTTCGGGGGAGGACAAAAAAAAAACCTTCTTTTGGTCTAGTTCTTGTGTGGAGAGGCTTGGTCTAGTGGTCAGAGAGCTCCAGTGTGACCTGGTGGTTTCTACACCGGCAGCTGGGCTAGTCAGGACGTTTACGGTGTGTTCCAGATGTCCTATAGAAGTTGAGGGGCGAAGGTTCAGAGTGAACCTTATTTGTCTACCTTTACAGGGGCTAGAGGTCATTCTAGGAATGGATTGGTTAGCTGGCCAATTGTATCCTTCTAGATTGCGGGAGAAAGAGGCTATCTTTCCTGAGGAGATGATACATGTCCTTGTCTCTCAGCGTACTTGGGCAAGACATTTGGGGGAAGGCGCGAGTTGTTTCCTCAATTATGACTCACATAGATGCGGACTCAATACTTGAATTCCTCAGTTCCAGGGGACCAGAGAATGGATTTGGCAGGTGGTGAATGAGTGCTTAGACGTCTCACCGAGGAAGTCCCTGGTCTACCTCCCCCCGTGAGGTAGAATTCTCTATAGACCTGGGTCAGGTGTGGACCAGGTGGTGGGGGGGGGGTTGTCTATTAGCTCCTTACCGATGGCTCCCGCGGAGCTAAAGAAATTTGAGGAACAGATCGAAGAACTTTTTGAGAAACAATTTATCAGACCCAGTGTGTCAACTGGGGTGGCGCCAGTACATATTGGTGAAGAAGAAGGATGACACTTCTAGATTGTTGTTGACTACCGAAAATTAAATAAGCTGACAATTAAAAACAAGTACCCATGCCGAGAATAGATGATTGAGGACCAGCTGCATGGAGCTACAATGTCTCCAAATAGATTTGAGATCAGGGTTACACCCAAATCTTGGTGAAAGCAGATGATGTTCAGAAGACAGCTTAGGTCCAGATATGGCCCACTACGGTATGTAGTTATGCCTTTTGGCGTAACCAATGCGTCTGCTATTCATGGACTACATGAACCGGATTTTTCAGGACCGTTCTTAGATAATTGTGATTGTATCATTGATGACATTTAATCTATTCTAAGACTCGGGGAAAGACAATGAAGGTCACTTGAGGGACATGCTTGGGGTGTTGAGAGAGAGAAAGTTGTATGCCAAAGCTGTAAGTGCGAGTTCTGGATGGGAATAGGTCCGTTTCCTAGGGCATGTTATATCGCTGGTGGTATTGTTTGATCCAGCCAAAGTTCAAGCTGTAATGGAATGGGAGAGGCCAAAGACAGTCACTGAGATCAGGAGTTTTGGGATTGGCGGGTTACTATGCCGCTTCATTGAAAACTTCTCCAGGATAGTTCCCCATGACTCAGTTGACCAGGAAGGATCAGCCTTTGTATGGACTGAAAGATTGTGAAAACAAAGTTTTCAAGAGCTTAAGGAAAGGTTGACAAGCGCCCCAGTGCTAGTAATTTCCAGACACTGGTAGACCTTTGAGGTATTGCGATGCCTCTCACCAAGGTCTAGGGTGCGACTGATGGCAAGAAAGAAGAGTGGTTGCCTATGCCTCAAGGGACAACTTAAGTGCATGAGAAGAATTTATCCCACTCACGGACTGGAGTTAGCTGCAGTCGTCTTTGCTTTGAAAATTTGGAGGTATTATCTATATGGGGGCCCCAATTCCAAGTGTTTCAGCGACCCACAAAAGTTTTGAGTACCTCTTTGATCAGAAAGAGCTTAACATGAGGCCAAAGAGATGGAGGAGTTCCTCAAGGATATGATTTTGAACTCTATACCACCCTGGAAAAGGGCGAATGTGGTGGCAGATGCCCTCAGGCAGAAAGACGGTGCAATTATCATAATGATGGTGAGAGAGCTTAATTGGTGGAAAGTTTCAGAGATTTGAAGCTACAGGTTGAATTGGAGGATGACAGCATCAGATCCAGTAAATTGGTTGTGTCTAGTAACTTGATAGAACGGCATGAGAAGGGCAGTGTTAGATCCTGAGCTTCAGACATCCACAGCCTTGATTGGTAACAGAGAAGGGGAAGGATTTCAACACAGGGACGATGGTCTCTTGCGATTCAAGGGAAGGGACATGCGTCCCCAAATGATGGGGAATTAAAGAGTTGATAACTTGAAGAAGGGGACACCGAAGTCGTTTTAGTATACAATCCAGGTATGACTAAAATGTACCAGGACCTAAGAAGTCCTTCTGGTGGTCGGGTTGAAGAGAGATGTGGCCCAATTGGTGCTTTCTTGGCCCTTACTTGTCAAAGGCCAAAGTAAAGCATCAGAGAACCTGGAGGTTATTTGCAGCCTTTGGAGATTCCGGATGGAAAGGATAGCATGGCTATGGACTTGGTTAACCCATTTACCACGCACTTTCAGGAAACATGATGGCCATAGGGGTGATAGTGGATAGATTGACCAAGAGTGCTCACTTCCTTGGCAATTGACTTAAGGATGTCCATGGCAAAAACTGGCGCAACTATATATTAAGGAGATAGTAAATTGCATGGAGTGCCTTCTAGCATCATATCAGACAGGGATCCGCGTTACCTCTAGATTTTGGCAAACACTCCAGATGAGAGGGTAGCAGATTGCAGATGAGCTCAGCCTACCATCCAAAACAGATGGCCAATCGAGAGACGATCCAGTCCTTAGAAGACTTGTTGAGAACATGTATACTGGATCATCTGGGAGCTTGGGATGAGGTGTTACCGTTAGTGGAATTACTTATAAACAGCTATCAAGCCAGTATGGTATGGCTCATTCGAAGCTTTGTATGGTAGACGCTGCAGAAAACCTCTCTGTTGGTTTCAGGATGGAGATCAGTATTGAGCAGGACCAGAATTAGTGCAAGCAAACCAACAGAGGAAGGGAGACTGATCAGGAAAGAATGAAAGCATCTCAAAGCCGGCAGAAATCATATGCAGATCAGAGGCGAAAACCCTTAGAGTTTGCACGGAGATCAGTCTTTCTCCGAGTTACTCCTTACACTGGTGTTGGAAGAGCTATTCGAGCGAGGGAAAATGTTCCCCCTAAGTACTCGGTCCTTATCAGATCCTGCGGGTATATCGGACCAGTAGGCCTATGAGATAGCATGGCCACCTCAGATGGCTAATCGTCATTCCTGTATTTCATGTCTCCCAGCTTAGGAAATATGTTGCCCGATCCGACTCATGTGTGGAGGTTGAAGACGTCCAAGTGAGGGAAGACTTATCTGTCGAGGTGCAACCAGTGAGGGTAGAGGAACACCAAACCAAGCGGCTCAAGGCAAGGCAGTCAGACTGTCAAGTTATCTGGGACGAAAGAACGGCGCGACTCCATGGGAATGGAGGAAGAGATGCAGAGGTCTTATCCTCATCTAATTACCGGTTAAGACTTAATTTTCGAGGCCGAAATTTTCGTGTTTGGGGAGAATGTATAGTCTGAAGATTTTATAAAGCCATTGGGGCCCTAATTAACAAAGCCAGACCCATTGACCCAAAGGACACTTAAACCTTGGATGGGCTTCTTCCTTGCAAGTCAGATTTCATTTCACATATTCCTCTCTTCTAGAACAGGAAATCTTGCCCTAACTCAAGTGCTCTGACTTCTCTCTAGGTTTCCGCCATTTCCACCGATTGAATCCTAATTTGGTGGTGTTTTCTTGTTCCTGGAGTCAAGAGCTCAAAACCATCCGATTGGTTTGCGTTTCAAGCGGGTAAGTAGATTTTCCCTCTTCCTGTTTCTTGTTCTAGGTTGTTACATTTTCTGATGTTTCCTGGCCCTGTGTGATTTTGTCTTTCATTCTCGGTTTATTCCGACTCGAAGAGCTAAAGTCTAGCACCTATTTGGTGATTTATAGGTTCTGTACAGTTTAGCACGGTGTAGGGGGTACTGTTAGAACATCTGTGAACTGTGTTGAGCACCCACCAGGTGAGGGGAGCTAATATTTTCTCTGAATTTATTGCTTGAATCTGATTTGTAAATGTATGCATTGGTTGTGATATGATTATTTTAATCTGTTCGAATGAGTGGTTGGCTGAAATTGTTTTGGTTTGAGGGTTGGAGTAAGATTCTGTAATGCATTGATATGGGTAGTAAGTAAGTATACAGACAATTGTTTAGTTACCGTGAGAGGAAATAATATACAATATAAAAAATAAAAAATAAAAATTGGCAATTGAGGTTTAGAGGCACAAACAGATTAGTTTAGGTAAACTTAAATAAATTAATTAAAAAAAATTGGTTGAGAGCCTTCTTTGTTGGTGGATAGGAGGGGACTTAAAAAATATGAGTTGGCATATCCCTGATCATAGAGCAGCCCTGGCCCTGGTTTCAGTCAGTTGTGACCTAGTCATATGTGCTAGCGCCGAAGGTGAGTATGATGCGTTCAGACATCTGAACCTTGCTCCGGTGGACCCAATTGGGTAGCGATGTGAAGTGGAGAACAAGTATTTTGTGATAATGAAAAAATTTAGCAAGCAGATTTAATAATAAGGGGAACATTGTAAGTTATTTAGAGGTAATACGTATGATAATATATTATATTAATAAATGTATAGATTTATATTGGGGTTAAAATTATGGTTTTAGTCCCTAAACTATGACCGTTTCTGGTTTTCGTCCCTCTTCCAAAGTAAGGTACACTTTAGTCTCAATCTTTGAAAAACGTGTTTTAGTCGAAAAACGAAACGTTTTGTGAGGACTAAAACGAAGACTAAAAACAAAAAATTTTGAGGACTAAAACGACGTTTTTCTAAGAATGGAGGACCAAATGCTACCTACTTTGGAAAGAGGACGAAAACCAGAAACGACATAGTTTAGGGACTAAAAACATATTTAAACCCTTATATATATATATATATATATATATTATATATATATATATTAGTTAATTATTAAATATAAATATTATAGTAACGTTAATATATATATATAATATTATATATATATATAATATATATAAAAAATATAGATAGGTAACGGAGAGGAGAACAATGAGAAGGAACCAATCCTTACGTAATAAGATATAAATATACATAGGTAACGTAATATATATGTATTTATATATATGTATTATATTTTTATGAATCTATCAAAAGAATAAGGTGCAAGTTGTTTTCTTTTTTTTTTATTTATTATTTCATTCAGTATATTAAATTTGCAGTGATAAAATTGTTTTAGTTTTTTAGAGATTATGCTATTATTATTTTACATTAATCATTGATCTTTAATCTTTACTTTGGTATATTACTGTTTTGTGATAACATGGACAATATATTACTGTGGAGCATGTTCTGTTATATATGATTTGATATTTAAGGCTTAAATATGTGGTTTGATTATAATTTAAAGGTGTGTGAATTGGGAAAGACAGAAACATGAGTTCATGGTTTGCTTATGGTAGTTTCAATGTAGAATATCTTGGTGAGGATTCTTAGTGTTTAAAATGAAAGTAGGGGCTCAGCCTTGGGAGTCATTCTGACGCTCCAATGATCAATCATACTCACTTAGAGAGGTTGAACCATGTGGTGAGGAGTAAGCAGGAGGTCCTTAGTCTTGGGCTCCCAGTATGCCTCAAGGCGCGGAACGGACTAACCTCGTGAGTGTGGCAGGGGGGGAACCCAAGTTTCATAAGTCACCACGGGTGCAAAATGACTCGCCATAGCCGGGCTATCATTTTTTAAAGTCCGGACGAGTC